TCTGTGAAGGAGCCAAAACTTCTAGTTCAGATTAAACATATAACTTCTAGACTAATAACTTCCATGAGAGGAGCTGCCCTCTTAAACTGTTTTTGATCGACGTAGCGATGGTGTTTCTGTATATTTACGGAGCATGCCAAGTATGCTATATGGAAAACTATGTTATCAGACTTGGTTTTCAGGTGCATACATGTGACATTGGAGTGTGAGTCCTATTTGGAAATGAATGAGTTTTGTGTTCCACTGCTTCCCAGATAACCGCAGCCTTTTCTAGAAAAAGTATCCTTCATACAGTCAGGAATAATGTGGCCCTAGTTTAATTGATTTTTTTGTCTTGTTCAAATATAAAGTTTCACTGTTTGCTCAAATATTTTTGATTGTAAGTTTCACCAGAATTAGAGTCACGTCTCAAGGTTTTTTTCTTTGTTCAACTTGTCTATTAAATTGGCATTTTACAGTGGGGTTTCTAATTTACATAAATGATTCAAGGAATTAGTACTAGGGTCAGCTACTACATTTTTTTTTTTTCTGGAAACCTGAAATTTTACTTTTCAAAAATACAATAATTTTTGCTTTCTGTTGGGAAGTATGAAATGTGTAGCAGAAGAATCACGTCTGAAGCAGATATCTGTAAGGTCTCTAAAATGCCATTTTTGTAGCATTATGAAATTTGGTCTATGCTATTTTACTAGTCTATGTGCTTTAGAAGGATTTGCAGTAAAGTAGAGACTTGGAATTTCTGCAAAAGTATTTGTTATGTACTAAGAGTACTTTGAAGGGTGATATCCAGATATTTCTTGAGATCTTGAAAGCATGGTATGAAAAATCAGATTTTCCACATTCCTACTTGCAACTTAAATCCAGTGCAAACAGAGATCTCTCTGTTTCATAAGTACTTGTTTAACACTGGCTCTGCTTTTGAGACTTATTGATTTTGGTGTATTCCAGGCCAGGAAAATCAAAGTCACATTGCGAAAATATCCTCCTGAAATAAGTTATTACCTTTTAATGCAGTTGTAAAGGATGAGTTTTTGGTTAAGGCTCTGGCCTGGGACTTGAGAGTTCAAACCGAGTTCAGCTCAAGGCTATGACCCTGACCGCAACCGTAGGCTCAACAGGCAATCTTACTGGGTCTCAGTTCCCCACCCAGAAAACAGCACTTGGTGCCTTGGGCTGAAGACTTGCTATGTATACAAATATAGTGTACATACAGAACAATCTTCTCCTGATCTGATCTGATTCTTAGCTGTTACTGTAATGTAAGTAATTAATCATCATAACTTATGTATTACTGCTTGTTTCTCTTTTACAGTCTGCAACATGGGGGATGTGAAACTGGTGACATCTACTCGAGTCTCCAAAACCTCCCTGACGCTCAGCCCCCCTGTCCCTGCTGAAGCACCAGCATTTACTCTTCCCCCTCGGAATATTCGAGCACAGCTGGGAGCCACTGCAAGATTTGAGGGAAAGGTAAGAAACAGAGGTGATGGAGGGCTTCTCCATTTGGTTTTGCCCTTTCCTGAAGCTGCCTAGTAGGCTGCAAAGATAGTGAAGTTGTCTCTGAGTATGGGAATTTATTCAAGAGTATTCTCTGAGTATGGGAATTTATTCAAGAAGAATACATGAGTGTTTACCCTCCTGAGGAGGCAGGAGCATTACAGGTCTGTTTCTGAACAGAGAGAGGGGAGTGTTGCAAAACGTGAGAACGTGCTAAGTATAACCTAGCTGAGCATGTCAAGCACTGAGCTAAGTATCAGTGGAAAACTGCCTCAAGAACTGTCTCTAATCAAAGACTATTCTCCTAACTGCATATGCATCTCCCTGCATCCTAAATCTGCCTCTTCCTGAAGCTTCACCTGTGACACAAATCTAACCCTCCCACAGCATGTTCTTCCTAGTAGGCACACTAGGAATCTGTAAACAGACTTGTGACACTTTTGTATCTGTACCACCTGCTACACATTATTAATCTGAAAGAAAAAAAAAATTTCTCAGAAGAAAGATTGATTTGTTCAAGAAAACTTGTTAACCCAAAGAGTTAAAAGGGTGTGTAGTGGGGTGTGGATCCCAGGTTCTCCCCTTCCCCTTATGCTTGGGACATTGAATTGTGCTTACTAACATCCATATTTCCTTCATGCTTCAATCCTGGTATGGTCTCGTTCTAGCTATCTTCCCTTCTCCTCCCCTAACTCACATCTTTTTCCTGGGGTTGCCAGTTTTCCCTGTCAGCCCTTTCAGCTTCCTTCTGTCCATGTCACGCTCTGATTGCATGCTGAGAGCTATATTATCAAACTGACCACAGTTTTAATCTTTGAAGTGGTGGGACTTCTCTGACAGAGGCAGGAAACTGAAATTTTACTGTAACAAAAGCAAGGGCTAGAAGGAATTTGGGAAATTCATAACTTCTGAAACTCTAATTTAAACAGAGTCAGAAGAGGGCATCTGATATTTATCTTGTTTGTTTATGCAAGAGCAGGCCAAGAACTGGGATTTTTCAAACAGAACTGGGCAAAAAAATAGTTTTTGGAGTATAAAAATTTTTAAATGTAAACCAAAAACTCAGAAGTAGTTCTTGGATTTTACTTTTTTGAAGAAAAGTTAGCATTTTTCATAGAAAGCGGATAATTTCAATGAAAGTGTTTAAACCAGAGAACAGTTTTTTATCAAACCTTTAGAAGGATTTTTTTATTATCTTACCCTTATTGTGATTTTAAGGCACCAGTCAGAAATCTTCTGTGTGTATGACATTGATCAGTCCCAGTGAGCGTTCTTGTCTTAATATTTTTATCCTTCCCCCCCCCCATGATTTCACCTTTTGCTTTGTTGCAGACACAGTGGAAAAATGGCAACATGTTGCCACTTTATGCATGTGACACCTATGCACAATGTTGTTGTAACTGGTTCTTCCAGACAACACTGCAACTGGCAATAACAGTTCAGTGAAATCACAGTTGAAGCATGTGATGTTGCTAAGATTTGTTTGTACTTTTCTCATGTTTCCTAATTAAAAGCTCAAATGAGATATTTCCAATTTTTAGTGCATTCTGCAGACTTTATCATAGTCAAATGGAAGCAACTGTAAAATATAATGACCTACAAGCTAGAGCGCCATCACTGCTTTGCATTTTTTTCAGATCTGGTTTTAAAGTGTTAATTTTTCAGAGATACTTATCCCCTTTTTAAAGTTGCTTTGAAGGCTAGGAGCGTAAAGTCTGAGGTTTTTTTTGGTAGCTTAGAAAAAATACAGAAATCCAATACTAATTAAACTGGCATGCTTAAGTTCCTTGAAGGAAAAAAGTTTTGACTGAAGTCCTGGATTGAACCTACTTGACGAAAATCTAAATTCCAGTTCTGCCCATTTGGTATATGAGCATGGCTGAAACCTTTAATTTTCCATTCTTAAAACGGGGATGAAAATATATTTGTCGCATGCATGTTGTGTAGCTGAAATAAACCTTTAATGCTCAAAGTGCTTTTTTAAGTGCCAAACATTAAGAGCACAGTTTAACTGAAATACATATGAGAGCTGCAGTCACTTTGTGGCAAGTAGCCTGCCTTAACAGTTTGGCAAACCAAGATTACGCAAATAGAGCCACTGTCGTGTGCACTTCAGCCTCTTGCTATGCATGGAGCATTGCCTGGTTTTTGCTCTCTGCAGCTTGCTGCCCTGGAGGAGCTTTGTTTTACTCTTTCCACTAACACAGGTGAGAAGAAACATGTAACACAGCTGAAGATGTAAAGCATCTTTGTCGTTGTGAGTTAGTTACAAATTTCCTGGAATCCACCCCAGCTGGAGGCTGAGATATGAACTTGCAATTTTTTACTTTTTTTTTTTGGGGGGGGAGGGGTGTGGAAGGGAAGCAGAGGGGTGAGAACAAGCTACGTTATAATAATTGGACATAGAGAGTGATGGAGCACAGTATATTCTCCTTATCTTTTGCAAGAAAAAATTGTTTGAAAATTATAATACTATTAAAATAGAGCCTGTGTGAACTATTGTTTATAATGTAACATGGTTGGGGAGATTGTGTTTGGTTCTGGTTTTTGTAAGTGGTGGGTTTAAATTATTATTTTGCTTGTGCTGCTAGTCTAGTAACATGGGCAGGGGGAATGCAACACTACAGTTTGAAAGGATGCTGTCACTTAATAGCTGTAGTCCTACCAGACTGCAGCCTGCGAAGTGGGTATCATCTGCGTCCATCTTCAGCTGATTAGTACAATGTTGCTTCTTCTGTCACTTCAATGTTCCAGAGGTTCAGGACAGTGGACTGGTTCAGAAGGACAATCTTAATAAAAACAATTTATTAAGATTTAATAATAGAAGTAGCTAACGAACATACTTAGGTTTTTCTATCCTGGAAAACAGGCTACAGATGTTATAGATGGGTCGTTGCTGATACTCTGCTTCATCTCACTGTATAAATATTAAACTAGACTCAGGCTAAAGAATAATAAAAATTTTTAAAAATGGCTAGACAGGAGATTTTCTTCAAAGAGTTCTTCTGGGGTGGAATTTGTCTTATCAGAAAGAACAAACATTTTGAGAATCCAAGATAGGATATAAATCTGACATTGTGGTGATCCTGTACTCTCATTAAGTGAACACGGAAGAGAGGGCTCCAAAGTCAAACTTGTTGCTTTTCTTTCCAGCAGCATGCAAGACAAGTTTTGTGAAATTGCAATTCAAGATCAAGGAGAGTGCAGAAATTGAGAAATAGTGTAGGAAAGTGGAGGTGGAAAGGAACTGGAGTTGCCATTAACAGGGATTCTTTTTTTTCCCGTTCCTTGAACTACCACCCTACTAAAATCACAGCAAGTTTACCTATATCTGACTGCAGATCTAGGTTTTTGAAAGTTACCTCAGTGTAAAAAGTTAGCTTATCGTATTTAAAGTGTATGAGCATGATTTTGGCCTGGAGCACCGACTGAGGGGTGGAACCACTTAGTAAGGCAAAGGCAAGGTTACCTTCCCTAGATGCTCCCCAAACATCTGCTGCATGGACATCTCAGTTGTTCGTCAATCAATTGCTGAGGTGATTTTTAGAGAAACCATCCTATCTTATTCTGAAGTTGTGTTACGGGTTCCCAGCTTGTTAGGTATTGATTGATGTGGAGTTCTATTGCACATCCTGTGTGAGGTGTACAGCTCACAGCAGTAATCTCCTGCCTTGTGCTCAGGCATTGTAGCTTGTCTGTCAGAGCCTTTGAGATACTCTTGGAAAAGACAAACAGACCAGTATTACCAGGCTTTGTTTTAAACTGTTTCTCTGTTGTATTAATCACTGGAATATTTATCAGTGCTTTACAACATTAAATTGTGACTGTATATCTTTCTAATTCAACTGAACATCACTGGCTTTTATAATGCTCAATGGTATACTAATGAAGGAGATTCTTTTCTTTGTAGCAAATATCATGGGGGTTTTTGTGACAAGTGTCACATAAGAGCACAGGGAAATCCTTTTCAGCCATAGCACCTGAATAAGCATCTGTAAATTACCAGGCAAGGTGGTACTTTGATACTGCTGATAACATTTGGTCAATTCATAATCCAAGCACAGTATCCCATCAGATTATTTCAGACTTTGGGTGTCCTGAAATTTCACTTTCTGAAACTATGCAGGATACTTTAATTACAACACAGAGCACATTATTATGCTGACCTATAAGTACAACATCATTCAACATATATCTAGATTAAAATTTAAGTTGTTTCAGTCTCTCTCTCTGTCCCCCAAACTCAGCTGAACTATTATCTAGTAAAGGTTTAAAACGTTACAGTAGACCAATACAGATTCAAATACAATAATTTTCCATACAGTCAAGTAAAGCTTTTAAACACTTCCATGATTTTCACTAGCTTTTCTAACTCTAGGAGGATGGCAAGCATATATTAATACGAGTGCTGGGCAGAAGCCCCTAGAAAGATTTTTTTCACTGGAATTTGCAAATCTGTAAGTTTCCTTTTCTGGAGATGGGCAGAGGGTGGCCACAGATTTCCACAATGCTGCATGTTTTTCTGCTTGCCTGATTTCTTAGTATCCTGTTTACTGGTGTTTCAAAAACTACAGGCTCAGTGACTTAAGGCTGAAGCCTTTCTTATGTCTCAAACTCCATCCTTTTTGAGAAGACCTCCTCTTTCATGTTTAGAAATTTGACTTCTAAATATTGCACAACTTTATTTATCCAGATCTAAGTTCCACCAGTAGCTGTTTAGAGAGGAAGTTACGTCTCCATTGTAGAACCTAGCAGTTATTTAAATATTGCCCTGGCTCCACTCTGCATCCACCTATGCCCACAGCTTAAATGTTGCTCTCAGCCTGAATTGGCCCATTTTAGTGTTAAGGCTCAGGTTCAGCTTTTGCTTGGGTTTGTGAGTTTTACTGTGTGTGCGTTAAGATGGCAAGCTAATCCTCCAGTTCCATTTGTGTGTTTAGAAGTATTGAAAAGTTCTTTCATGACTGTCTGGG